CATAGAAAGGCTGGCTGTATTTTGTTTTGGCATCATAAACTGCCGTGGGCTCATTACATTTTAACAATTAAGATTAAAGAATTAATATTCATAGTAGAAAACCTTTGCTGAATCACTGAATTGCACTGAGTTGAACTGAGTTGCCCAAGTGAGTTGGGAGTTGATTCCCGGAAGTGGGAGTTGCGAGCAGCGAACGGAATCGATACCGGGATCCAGCACTAATTGTGACTACCATCATACTGAAAAAAAAAAGACCTAAAGGACATTAACCCTTTGTGCCCCAGTCACATAAGTCTTCAGGACAGCACCTGAGCTCCCCTACGTCCACCACTAGATTGACCACAGTGGATATGGCGGCTTCCATTCAGTTCTCATAAGGTTTAACTCTTTATCTCAGAGGGGAGTAAACCCACTATGCCTGGGCCCTTTTTTGGTACTAAATCTAAAAATGACGAAAATGTCACTAAATTGGTAATTAAATCAAAACAAGAGATTCTATTCTGATAGTTTCTCACCTAATGAATGAAATCCCGATAAAAGAGACCTGTTTTTAGCAGTTGAAGAAATGTAATATGATGTCGAAGTCGTCGCAAAGGAATGTGCCCGAGTCGCTGTCAGCGGCTTACCGGCAGTCGGTCCGATCGCGAGCCACTGGGAGCGGCTTGCCAAAGATAAAGAGTTAAGGCATTACCCATTCAAGTGACCAACGTCTATGGTGTAGCAGGTAAGTGCTTCGCAGTCGTACCCAGGAGACCTTAGTTCAATTTCTGAGTGGGGAGAAAATTTTATTGAGTATCTCGCAGTCTTTATGCTGAGATGTTGTATCCCTCTCAGCCCAGGTTGGTCGTGATAAGCAGGGTCGGAAGTCCGCCTTCTAAATTATGATCTTGATTATGTTGATGGGACAGCAAAAACACCTACATTAAAAAAATTTCATACTCAGGTGTGCACTTGGGTCTGAATGGTCAAAACATTTTTATTGGAACAATAAAACAGAATTGTGACTCACTTCGGGTACTTGTCTTTGGCGCTGTCCATATCACAGAGGGCCCGGAAGAACTCGTCAAACTTGATCCTGGAGTTGGCGTCTAGCGTGGCCCCCACAGCCCAAACGACGGAGAAGAAGAAATAAGAAACAATCATGTTCGTCCGTTCTTCATCCAGCTTCTTCTCATCCATCCCTAGAGAAGGCAAGTCTCCCGTGGGCTCCAGCTCTGCCTCTTCTCCTTCCTCCTCGATGAAATCATCATCATCATCATCGTCATCCTTGCCAAGTTTTCTAGCAAAAAAAAAAGAAGACAGTGGTTACCATGAAAAGGATACCATAAAGCTATGGGGCAACAAAGAAGAAATGCTGATCACAGAATCCTTTATGAAACCATTAGAGTCACAACTAAAGAAGGAGAAGAGAAACAGTAACAAAAAAACAAGTTCAACCACATAAAGAGGAACTTTCACAACCATACATTAATTATATACACACAAGCACAGCAGTAAAAACAAAACATGTCAGCACTTGCTGACAAACTACAACTAAGAATTAAACAAATGAGTCTAAAGCAATCGCTTAAACCTAGTAAGATTTGTGAGGCATCGTGATGAAATCAGGCGCTCATTTTTTCGTCAAAAGCAAGACAAATAAAGAGGCTATCGTATGATAAAAATAACTATATGCCCCCAAATTGGCGAGCGTCTGATGCCACCACGTGTTGACACCTATGTTATTTCTCTACTTGTTTGATCCACTTACTTGACATCCTCCATGAGACAGGAGTAAAGTTTCAGCAGACTGGCTGTGTAGTGCATGGGCTGCAGTGGTAGGATGTGTTTGCAAGACTTGGTGACAAAGTTGAGACATGGAGGCAAGATCCACTCAAACAGCAGCTGTGAACAGACAAGTTGGGATTTTCAAGGGTCAGTAAATGGGAAGGAATTTCTTTTCAGTTTCAAAAGGTTGATAGGTGAGTGCAATTAATACTTTCTCCCTCTTGTTTTCTCTGTTTCTTTTCTCCCTCCCTATCTCTCTTTTTCCTCCCTCCCTAACTCTCTCTCTCTCTCACTCTAACATCCCCTCTCTCTCTCTCTCTCTCTCACTCTAACATCCCCTCTCTCTCTCTCTCTCTCTCTCTCTCTCTGTGTCTCTCTCTCTCTCTCTCTCTCTCTCTCTCTCTCTCTCTCTCTCTCTCTCTCTCTCTCTCTCTCTCTCTCCCTCCCTCCCCCTTTCTCTCTCTTTTTCTCTCTTTCTTTCTTTCTCTCTTTCTTTCTCTTGTTCTCTCATACACAAAGCCCATTAATACTTGGATGTACAATTATTAAGTTAAAAAAGAAACATACAAATACCCTATTCTAAAGAAGCGGGGGGGGGGGGGGAATTCTTGAGATACATCACAGGGGTTCAGTTTTTCACGACTTTGGACAAACTGTTCCACTGATGATTGTGGGGATACACTCGAGGGTCTATCAGTTAGGAATATAACATATTAATACAAAATATACTTGCTAGGCACAGGAAAGTGAAACAACTCCCTGAAATAGAAAGGAGAGAGAGAGAGGGAGATAGAGGGAGAGAGGGAGAGAAAGAGAGAGAGAGAGAGAGAGAGAGAGAGAGAGAGAGAGAGAGAGAGAGAGAAAGAGAGGAGGGAGGGAGGGAGAGTCCTGAATAGAGGCAGACAGGCACACACAGACAGAAGGGCAGATAAAACAGATAGAGAGAGAGAAAGAGAGAGAGAGAGAGAGAGAGAGAGAGAGAGAGAGAGAGAGAAGAAAGAGAGAGAGAGAGAGAGAGAGAGAGAGAGAGAAAGAGAGAAAGAGAAAAAGAGAGAAAGAGGGAGAGAGAGTGAGAAAGAGAGAGAGAGGGGAGGGAGGGAGAGACAGAAATAGAGCAGAAAGACACACACAAATTGAAGGTCAAGCAAACAGATAAGGAAAGAGACAGAAAGAGTGAGAGAGAGAGAGAGAGAGAAAGAGAGAGAGAGAGACAAACAGATAAACAGACAAACAGACAGACAGACATGAAAAGTCAGAGAGAGCAAATACCTGAATCATCTCCTTTTGTTCTGGCTTGATGTTGTCTGGCAGTTCAGTGTTCATCCAGGAGGTGACCAGAGGCTCCCAGCCCAGTTGAAGAGGGTCCATGTAGATCATGCCACATCTAGGCAACATTACATATAATATATGTATATTTTGTGGCATTGTAATGAAATCAGGCACCCGACAAAATAGTTAAATCAAAGCCACCAGCATTTTTTCCACTTGTTTGGAAATTTTTATACTTATTGAATCTTTTTTCTTGGCTCAACAACCTTTAAGTCCATTTAAAACTGTGTGGCTTTTACGTAGGAATGTTTATCACACGCACAAAAAATACGTAGATATGTCGAGTGTTATTCTAATTTTTTACATGTATGCACATATGAGCACATACATATTACACATGAACATGAGTGTGCGAATGAGAATGTATGTGTGAGTGTCTGCATGTCTGTGTCTGTATTTGTGTATGTGCCTGTGTGTGTAAGACTGGGTATAAATATTATGGATATATGAGCATGTGTGTGTTTGTGTGCGCGTGTGCGTGCGTGCGTGCATGCGTGCGTGCGTACGTACGTGCATGCGAGCGTGCGTGCGCGTGTGTGTGTGTGCGTGCGTGTGAGAGTGTGTGTGTGTGTGCGTGTGTGTGTATGTGTATTTGTATATGTATGTATGTATAAATGTCTCAAAAAAACACATTATGCCCATCAGTAAGTGTACCTGCTGACAGTGGCTGGAGAGGCCTGTTCCAGGTCCTGGGGTTCAAAGATCATGTTCTGTGTGTTGCTCATCTGGATGATCTCCCCACTCATAAGGCACAGCTGGGAGGTTCAGAGAGGATAACGATAGGACATATGATTATTGAAAGTGGTCCAGAATTGAGCGGTTTAAGTATTTGTCTTTATTTGACTATATTTGTGAATCCTTTAGAGAAGCAGTACCACTTACATTGTTTCTTAGCCTGGGTAAAGAGAAGCCCATTGATAATTAAAGGGGTAATTTAGTGCTGGAAAAGAGAAAGATGAACAAAGGAATACAAAGTACATTTTGAAAGATATCAGCAGGAACTTAGAATGTATTATCACAGAATATAGAGTGTAAAAAATTTCAGCTCAAACACTATGATCTGATGAGACAAAATAGTGCCTCATCTTCTTCCTACTACTACAACTACTACCTACTTCTGGGAGATTCTGTTAACTCTGGCTTTACAATTAACAGTTTCTAACCCAGTCACACCCTCCTGCCACCCACACAATATTTCTTCTGAGTTCACTTGTGAGCCCGTTAAAAATCAACAAAGAGTTCGACATAACTGCAAATTTACAGCTAAAAAGGGACTATGTCTCACTCTTTACTTCAGGTTAGCACTTGGACAAATATTTTGAGAAGAAAACAAAGGAATAACATTGAAAGTTATGGTGCATACACAAATTCTATTGGACAAATCCCATCCTCCAACATTTTCATTCAAAGGTACACTCTTTCCTGTTTTGTCAACATTACTACTTCAAAACAGTAACAATTCATTATAACAATGTCATCAAAACAAACTAAGTAGTAATGCTCACATTAAAAATTACTACTATACTGCTATGAGCTCTCTGCTCTTCAAAATTCAACCCTTTTTATGACTAAACTTTATTCTTTGCGTCACTTGTAGCTACGGAATGTTAGTAATAAGTTCCAGTGGAAAACACAGAGGTAGGCACTAGATATCTAGTTTTGTACGCTCAAACAAATCTCCCCTAGCCCATTTCTGAGTTCCTTCTTATTCATCTTTGTCCTTAAAAGGTCAAATAAAAAACAAAGAAAAGATGGAAGGTAAACTTACCTTCTTGTTGTCATCCAACACTGTGTTCATATTCTCAATCCACACTGCATCCACAGGCCCATCAAAGATGATCCACTTTCGACTTAGTGATGGATTTGAAGCATGTTCTCTGAATGTGTTGGCAAGTACACCTACACAGAAAAGATGATGTTCTTAATCATTCATAGACAATGATATTTTTTGGTAATGTTCTGTTGGAGGTTGAAAAAGTAAAACAAAAGCAAATCTGTCCATTATTTCTTCTAATCATGTTTCAAGACCAACAATTATGAGCAAGAGGTGACAAAGTATTGCTTCAAGACTACAGAGGAGGGACAAAATGTTACTTCTAGATGGTGAGTTTGGGACAAGATTCTGCCTATAAACAGCATACAAAAACCATGGCGTACAGTACTATGTTGTCTTTATTGACAAATGGATACCCAATGGAATAGGTGAAGAAAAAAGAGATGGGAACATGAGACATGGTTAATCATGAACTTAGAGGTTCGACTGCATTTTGTTCATTTCAGTATACACAAATTTCAATAACAGTTCATTATTCTAAATCACAGCTTCCCAGCACAGAAATAAGATATAAAATTGCACCCACCATCTGTCCACTCATGTGAAACAGGGTCAAAACGTCCATACAGCTGACCCATCGTGATGGCTTTGGGATTAATAATGCTGTAAATGACCTGCAAACAAAGACAAATCATACATTTTCAGAACTCTAGACACTGAGTTTGTTGCTACTTACAGTCAAGCAGCTCGTGGGATTTTGCCCATCAGCTCAGAAGCATAATCATATAATAGCAGGAACAACAATGGTGCCAAATCAGATAAAATGTTAATGGTTGTGATAAAGTAATAGAATAGAGTCCTTTATCAACAAGAAAAAAGAAACAAATTCTGTTGCAAGATCAATGACACAAAGCAGTGGAAGTTGATGCCAACAAAAGACTCAAAGTAAAATTATTTGCAATCCACTGTTAATAAATTTAATTACTTTTTTAATCTACCCTCACCCCCACCCTTCCCCATTAAAACCCTCATAACGTACAATTCATTACCATCCTGTACTTATTCACTTATGACAAGCAAAATGATATAAACATGTACACATCGACTTCATATTTCAGCACCAGTCTACTATTACTAGCCTAAATACTAGAAATTTACCTTTGATGTTTCAGACAAATATCCTTCTTCCACCCCCACCCCCACACCCACGTACGCACACACAAACAACCATAAACAACCACAAACACACACATCCACACACACACACAGAGCGGAAATTACAATACCTAAGCATAATACGTGACAGCTAGAAACATATTACAATACTCTGTCAAGTAAGCACTGACCGGCTGTTCCTCCATGAGGCCCTGATGATGTAACATGCCCAGGCTGGCTGCTAGAGTCTTGAAGGCACTTGTCTTTCCACCCAATGGGTCTCCCACAATCATCAGTCCATGCCGCACCAGAATCATCTCATAGATCTGAAACATGCCAAAACCAAATACAGTAGAGTACACATAAACCAAACAAGGTTAATCCAAAAACAGCGGTGAACCGAAAGAAATAAAGTCCCCATTCTTTCGTCCCTCTGTTTGAGCGACATCTCTAAACTAATGAACTGAACAAATCAAACAAAATCTGGCGATCCAGAAGATTTTGGTTTAAACGGACTCCATTGTACATCGTATTGTTATGGAAATTATGAAATCGTGTGTGATGGGAGGGGCAGGGGGTTTGTTTGTTTTTGTTATTTTTGTTTTTATTTTTTTTTGGTGGGGGGGAAGGATTTAAACTCAAGTTAGACACCTTACCAAACATAAAATAATGGGAACCATTAAACTGCTCAAAAGCAAGAAGATATTTATGGGTGACAACAGATGGTTTGAAAAAAGCACTATCCATTAAAGAAGTGTGAAACAACTGTGGGCAAAAATTATCTCTTTTGAGAGTAAACAGACGTATGAATATAAGAAGTTAAGTTCACAGCTTTGCTTCTCTGGAAGAAAGATGTAAAGGGAAAGACTTTTTTGTAGGACTTATAATCGTCAAACTTCCTTAAAAGAACTATTTGGGAGAAAGTGCAAAAATTACATAAGTTTTAAAAAACCGTTTGAAAGAGGTAGAGGGATTCTGATTATAAATATATGGATCATTGCCTTAGAAAAGCAGGCATATTGTCATTTTTATCACAATGTCAAACAAAGATATTCATAATTTCATAATTTTGTTTTGCAATAGCAATGATATAAAACTATAAAATGTCAAAATGTAATGATAAATTAACATCAGGTAACTTAAGCAAAAGCTACTACAGTGCTGAGGACTACTTATCAAATGCATAAATGACAACTTTCACCTGAAATCATCTATGAATACCTGAATGATTTTGGTGATAAACCAAGGCACGGGTTGAAGATTGGATTCTGTCATCTTCTCCTTCAAAGCATTTTCCAAGCTGGCGTAGTCTGGGGTCGGCAACGTAACACCAGGGAAAAGATCAGAGGTGATGCCCTTGAAGAGCTCAATATCGTCGGACAAGAACTGTGGAAACATAAAAAAAGCAATTGATTTCAGTATCCATTAGTCCACTTATTTTGTCCTTTGCCCTTCCTCCTTCTGAAGCTTCATAACATTAACACAGTCCATTTTCACTCTGTATTGGTCAGCACCAACCCAACACAAAAATGAGAAGCACAGAAGTGATATAAACATTTCTCGGATTAAAAACAAAACCACATATAAGTATTTAAAAATTTGATGCATGAGGTTAATCACACAATTGGCCATCTATATCCATAAAAGATCAGCTCCAAGGCCCCTATCACTATGAATACCAGTTCTGACCATTAAGGTGCTTTGGTACCTTTTCTAAGTAAAACAATTTTCTTTCAATAAATAAATCATAAGAGAAAAAAAACAATATAATTAAACAATGAATCAAACACATAACACTGTTTCACCTTTGGCAAGTTGACGTCGTTGATGGAGCGCAGCACCAAAACGTCTTCCTCAAAGTCTGGGTACTTGAGTTTGAGGTTGCCTGCTGCAGTCAGCACAGATTTGACAGCTCGCATACCGTAGTCATAGTGATGTTGAGATGAAAGCTGGACATAGAGCAAAAGTGCACATAAGAGACAATGGTCATAAAACCTGTCAAAAAAGGTTTTACACAGTAACAACTGAATAAGGAACTGTTGAAGGTTCAGCAAAGTTTAACTTCAGTTCATATTGTGATTGTGTTTTCTGGTCAATTATTCTTTTTTATTCAGAACAAAAATAACACCACTCAAAATGTCGATCGATATAGAAACTTGACTTTCTTCAATCATGCTGGAGTGCTCTCTAGTTTGAGTAGTCGTTTCTCAGTCATAGCCTACAGGTCCCAAAAGAAGTAGTTGAGACACAATACAAGTTGACCCAAACAAAGACAACATGTGCTGAGATGGACATTATCATACAGATTGTCACTTTGTGATAAGCCTACTGTGTGTTTGAATAAAACCAAGAACTTTTCTTTTCATAATAATAAAAATAAATCAGCTAGTAGCTTGTTATTCCTGTGTGCATGATGCAGGAGGTACAAACGGCAAGAAAAAGCCATACTTTTCACATCTTAGAAAACTAAAATTTTACAAAAATCCAAAAAAGTAAGCAAAACCAAGTACTGGTATAGTGCAAAGCTACACAAATGTAGTGTCTCTAAATACCAGATCTTTTCTTAGGCTACACTATGTTTGCTTTGAACTCAAGTTGATATATATCTATAGCTTCTCTTTATGACTGTATACATAGTGAATGAAAAATAACATCTCTACAGCAAGACTCCAGTGTATGTGTTGATAATTTTGTGAACATCATCCTGAAGCTGACAAATGCATACACTTTGAGAATATAGGGGAACCTCTGTTCGCTTCTTTCTGCATCCAGATTTTGCAGGTGAATGGTCTTTTGCTGTACCATTTATGCAGGCATAAGAGGCATCAAAAGCTAAATTCCGAAAAAGTGTTAACTCTGTCATATCTCAACTTATTTATCCCAACTGGATCACTGCAAGTAACTGAAAGACCTGATTGAGTGATTTTTTCCAAAGTCACTGACCATCTTCAACTTACTTTCATCATGGTGCAGCCAATATAGCCTAACTGATTTTTTTGCACTTTTGAGATAATCAAGAAAACCTGATTTTTTGTTTCAAACCCCACTTTTGTTATTAAATATGAAAATGTCTAAATTCATGATAACGGCATAGCACTATCGAAAAATTTTAATTTCAAATAAAATGATGCGCCATGAAGAGAGGAACTAGTTTGACTTACGCTATAATGGCAGCAACATGACATTATGGAACAGCCGAGAAAACATTGACCCCCACCCCACCCCAACAAACCTGCTCAGAGCACAGCTTGTAGGTGGCCACAATCTTAGTGGCCAGACTCCGAGAGTTGACAAAGCCATTAGAGTACAGAGAGATCTCAGCAATCATAGCATAGTCCGGAACCATCATGGCCACTGTACGGAACAACACCTGGTGATACAAAAAACATCCATGACATAAGATAAGATAATATAAGATAAGATAAGGTAGGATAATACTTTATTGTCCCAAAGGGAAATTAAGAAGCATAAAAATCTATGAGAGAAGCAATATATGTGAATGTTTTAAGTTTTCATAAGACTTTTACAGCACATGCAACACAAAGAGGTCCCACAAGTGCCGATGATTAGAGGAGTTACAAGAGAGTAACAAACACAAAAAAGGACAGATAAGGACGACAGACGTTTGATGGGAAAGAAGGAGCAAACCAAACCAGAGCATCTCCCAACCACCCTCATCTGTGAATGTGTATTCATTTCCATACAGATGAACCTTTCACCCAGTAAAACCGTTGAACCCCGACCTCTAGAATCTATTTGAATCACTCTGCAGAGGATGGCTTGAACATCAATATTTTAGGTCCATATAATACCACTAATATAATACATTAGGTGCCATACAATACCTTGAAGTTAGCAAAGATAAGAGAGTACTCTGCAGTGTGTTATGTTTCTTCTTCACCTTTCAAGTGTTGCTTTGATCAGAATCTCTTCCCTTGCAACATATGAAAAGTATCATGCTAATCTTGTTCACTACATAACTTCATTCCCATTTTGATGTGATTTTTTTTTACACCTCTGACACAACATAACTGAAGTGCTTCTAATGCTAAATGCTTCGTAGTTTGACAATGGTAGGTGTATCTAATAATCGATGAATCGTAGTGAAGGAGTTAATATTAACTGCAACTCAACCTAGCCTTTTGGCTAAATCAAAGCCTAGCATCTGTTCCCAACTTTTTGGCCTTGTGCTTGAGTACAAAGCGGGACAGATATTATAGAAGCTGATGAGGCTTTCATTTATAGCCTCAATTATCTCTAGTGGATAGATCTGTCCTCTTTAAAAAAAAGCAACCCAAAAAACTGTAACTTAACTCCATAAACTCACCTTGAGGTTATCAGGCAGCTCTGCACGTCCAGCGTAGCCAGGGTTCATAGTGATGAACATGGTACAGGTTGGGTCTAGCGAGATCTCTGTGCCCTCAAACACAAACGTGACGGCCTTGTCGATGATAGCTCTCTGGATAGTCTGTACTTGCTGGGCGATCACAGACAGCACCTGGAGGAAGAGCATAGGAACAAATGAAATACAGATGAAACTGTCCAAGACAGCCATCCATTGCTGAGGAGAGAAGTGATAAGGTTGTCTTTGTCTTAGACAAGCGGACATCCTGGACAGTTTAATTTTAATATAGGGGAATCTTGAATTCATCCTCAGGTAAAAAAAAAAGGTCACCAGTTGGAGAGTTGAAAGATGATTTACACACTCCAAATAAGACTTAAACAAATTTAATGTCTGAAGAGTAAAAAACCTAAGAAAATGGCAAATAGTTTCCTGAGATATGTTGGGCATTACAGTCTTGTAGGAAAAATGACCAAGAAATGCAAAGTGAATTGTATTACACGATGAAGACCTTAAGCTGACTTCCCGTCGCCTGGCCTAGGGAATACACTAAATGCTGAAGACTCTATAAGAAAGAAAGAACACAACAAGTGGATAAGTAGAGTATTAATTTTTAAATGAAACAGACTGGCCACTTTTTAATCAACAGCTCAGAGAAGATACAAACTATGATGCCAGCCATTTAACTTTAAAAATTTAGCCAAAAAATTCCAAATAAGATTTCAAATTTGAGTCAGTATTCACATCTCAAAAGCTACTTATTCACACATTGTCAAAAGTTAAAATAAATACATGAAATCTGCACCTTGCATAAGCTTACCTCCAACTCAATTCTGTTGAACTCGTCAAAACAGGCCCATGCTCCTGACTGGGCCAAACCCTTGAAGAATTTGCCCATAGCTTTGTAGTCAAGGCCATCAGAGCAATTGAAGACAACACACTGGAGAGAAAATTAATTACTATATTTGTCTCTGATACTACAAAAGTTTCTATTCATACATAAGCGTATACTTTGAAACTGTACAGCGAGTCAACATTTGTATCAGTAACACACGAAAGAGCATATTATAATATACCCAATGTGTGCAAAGACCAAACAGTATCACCAACTTACAATTTATATAGCTATTAAAACTCTGCGTGTGAGTGCATCGTGTTGTGTAGATTAAAATAATAAGCACTACTTTTGGAAACTTTACTTTTGCCCCCCTCCCAAAAAAGTACAAAATTCACTTTTAATAATAGATCAGTTTGACAGAGTAAGAAGTGTAAAGAATAAGGCTGTATCAAGCAATTCAATTAACAACTCTTTTCAGACCTTTTTGAAAAAAAGAACGGATCATTTAGAAATTTCTAAAGAAGGGAACTAATCAAGAAGTATTTCCCAGGAATATTGTTATTGATTCATTTTGTTTTTGTGTTCAAATATCTCCCGCCCATTGTTCTCTCAGAACAACATTGAAATCTAACATAAAAATAATCACCCCGCTCTTGCAAACCCACCTGTTTTGCCACAGCTTTGGCCAGATCCTTGGAGGTCTCAGTTTTTCCTGTCCCAGCCGGCCCCTCAGGGGCTCCACCAAGGTTGAGCAACAGGGCACCCATCAGAGTTCTGGAGAAGGATAATAATATGTTCTTATAAATAATAAAACAAATAAATAAATTACATTTTTATTGATTCCAGAGGGGCAATTTGGTTTGAATCCATCCATCCATCCATTCATCCATCCACCCACCTATCCATCCATCCATCCTTCCATCACTATAAATACATACATACATAAATACATATATACACATACATACATGAATACACAATATTACACTAATACAGAACAATTTCACAACCATGCCATTGCTGGTCACCACTGTGCAGTGTCTTGTTTGTTGGGCTAGGGGTGTCATGTCTTGCTCAAGGAAACACCCCAGTGTCCAACCATCTGATCCCCGTGTTCTCCTATGTTCATAGTGTGATGTGCATATCGTTATCAATTGTGTTGTCATACCATGAATGGCTGCTTACATGTGCATTATTCCTTCAATGTTGCACAAATTTGAGACTTTATATTTCATCAAACCGTAACCAATCCAGCATTAGAGAAGCCCATCACTCAAAGGAACATTTGTTGATAGCACAGTTCTCTATTTATATATATTTTTAACCAGGCTGCAGGGTTTCAGGGCTGCCTCTTCCAATCTACTTCTTAATGTTTTCCTTGATAGTGTATATCAAGTAATCTTCCCATGACAATGTTTCGGCTATTTCCCTAGGAAACCTTACTTGCATCTTCAAACATGCTAATTAAAATTAAAAAAGATATACGGACAAAATTGTCTAAGACAGTCACCCATTGTCATGGAGAAAAGTGGCTGTCTTAGACATGTGGAATTTTTCGACAGTGTCATTATAATATTTTTAAAATGCGAGGGGGGAAGTGGGAAGTGGTTATTTGCAAATATTGTCTTTGGCAGATGCCCATTAGAGCAGGTTTGACTATTAAAATTATGAACAAGTTTAACTAAACAACTATTCTGCCCAAGCTGACAAAACGCTTTTTTTCATTTTGGTGCCTAATGTTTTTATTTGCTAAATTGAAAGATTGATCAGTTACCCTACTTGTGTGAAAAAATCAAATTGAAATTGTGACTAGTTTTTGACAAAATTAGAATTCAAATTTTGCAAAAACTCATTTTTAATTGATTACGCTGACAAAAAACCTCCTTTTTTTTAAACTGCGTGGAAGAAAAAAGGCGTTTTGTCAGCTTACGGCAGTATTGCCTTTTAATAAATATTTATTTAGCAAGTAGGCCAATAACTTAGATATGCAACACCTCACCTGTAACACCTGTCTGTGAGTGGTGTAATCACCAGCCTCCCGGAGTTGCCAAGGTACTCATAGGCATAGGCCACCTGCGTTGTGATCATGCGCACATTGCACGCAGCATCTTCGTAGTAGTAACGCAGCTGGGAGATCCAGGAGAAGTCGTGGGGACTGGAGGTGCCAATCTGGTAGAGGTTGTTGATGACATCACGCGCTGGACACAAACAAAAACATTCAGACTGTACTAAATATGACCTGAGGACATTGGTGGTGGTGTTGTTGATGATGATGATGATGGTTAAGGTGGTGATGATGATGATGATGATGATGATGATGATGATGATGATGATGATGATGATGATGATGATGATGATGATGATGATAATGTCAAAATGGTGGACATATTTCATAATGTTAAAAAATTCAGAACTACGTAAGTCTCCAACAACTTCTTGTCTTTCTTGTCATACTTAAAACAATGATTATCATCATCATCATCATCACCATCATCATTGATCAAAGGACAAATATCAACCAAGACAATGCAAACACTGACAATGACAAAGGAAAGGTTCTCACCATGGACATCAATGACAATGAGAGCACCCAGCGTTATTCTTGCCATCTTTGTCAGTTTTCCTCTCACCATGGCAACGATTTCTTCAACTTGTTTGTTGCTACGTGCCAGGTAAGCATTCAGTCCACCAAATCTGATGGCCTGGATCAAATGAAACAAGCAATCAGTGAAAATGAGACAAAGTTGAAAATATGGCAGTTGGATTCTTTCATCACTCATGCATTTCAAGTTGATAAATAAAAAAAACACTACCATATCAAAACAACACATCCATGTGACCTGTATTTTTATTTTGGTTATGCCCAAAATAGCTGATATGGGTTAATCCTAAATCTGGCCAAGTCTGGCATGAAAATGACTATCTGTGGATATTTTTCTGTATTGAATATTTAAGGTAGTAAGCCCAAAATTATTTAATTCTTTTGTTTTTAACTCTTTTGTTTTGATAAATATTAAATTATTACAGAGGCACAGTCCAAATTTTTGCATCTCTCTCCGATCGCAGTTTTTATTCAATTCCAACATCGATACCCCTCCTCTTTTTTTTTTCCAACCATTCTTCATCAGATAGTCACAACATGGTCTCGGAACAACTTTATCTGCTTCTAGTAAAAGCTGTCATTTGTTAATCATATAAATGCAAGTGTCTATGCCAACTTGAATTTAATGTTTTATGCATGAACAAATTTGGAAGGTTAATAGAATTCCAAAAATATGAAGTCTTGCATATTATTATATTATTGTTGTATTATATTTGTGAAGCATGCTGACAAAATGAGTTGCTTCTCAGATTTTAGACCTATGGAAAAAGATGCCTAAAATTTATAGATGGAATTTGAACAATTTATAAGTATAAAATATAAAGACATGTTAGACTTCAAGAAAATGGCATCAGTTGAAAGTCTACAAATTTGACCCTTGTGTTGATTTTCAGCCGACATCTCCATTCACGGATTGCGAGAAGCAACTCATTTTGTCAGCCCACCTTACACGACATGACTTTCAGAACTCTTAACAATCTTATTAAAGCAGCATCTTAATGGCAAATCTTTTCTCTCTCACCTGAGTGACCTCAGCTGTCCAATGAATCTGACTGGCTGCCAACACAATCTGACCAGGCCATTGCAGTACCCACTCATTCCGTTTGGTGGTTGGGTACGCATTCACTGCTTTGCCCATCACCTCTCTCAAACTGAGCTTCATCACCTCTTCCACCTGAAAAAAGAACACACAAAAATTGCCACTTTTTAAAACAATAAGAATTGTCTAAAACTGCCACTTGATGTTGAGGAGAAAAGTGGTTGTTTATACAGTTAGACGTCTTACACAGTGTCATTATAATACAAAAGATATTCAAGGGTGAATATGGGAAGTGGTCATGTACAGATGATTATCTTATAAAAGTGGCTGTTAGAACAGGTTCGACTATATTATTAATTTTTTCTCAGAACTTTTACAACCTTGAACTTAAGGAGGTATATAACCATGTAATTGAACAAGAACCTCATTTCAGTCCCACTATTGTCTTTGAAAAGACCTATTCCATATCTACATGTAGAAGGTTGTTTAATTTTGACAAAAGCAAAAACTACCAAATATCTATCCGACAAAAATAAAATAAAAGCAAATTGATTTTTCTTTTTACTGATCATTTTCTCCACTTCCATTACCACCCTGAGCACTCACCTGTTGCAACCATCTTTCCACAAGTCCTTGAGCATCAGCTGGGATAATCATGCGAGCAAACTCCACACGTTCTTTTTCAGCCGACTCCATGGCGGTGATGACCTTATCAGGGGTGAAGGTCAAGCAAGCAATACCCTCAAAACACTTCTTGAGATGCGGTTGCACACGCAGTGGGTCTTTTGTCTCAGCCAGGATCTCCAGCAACTCATCATTGGACAAGAAGAAGAACCTGGAAAAAATTATAGGGATTAACAAAAAATCTACAATTATAAAAGTTTGATCCTTTTTCATTGAGGCTAATTTTTGTTTATGTTCTAGTAAGTGTTTTACAGCATCTGCAACACAATAAGGTCATATAAGTGCTTAAGATTAGAGGTGTTACAAGAGAGTAACAAACACAAATAAGAAAGAGGTAAGATAGGGATGATAGATGTACAATAGGAAAGATTGAAGGAGCAAACCACAACAGGGCGCTCACCAAACACTCACCTGGGGCTATTACTAATATTGCCTTGATTTTAATAACTCTCCCTTTTTTTGAAAAAAATTATTTATACCCTTAAAAAAAGCTATCTGTATACACACATGAGTCATGTCATTACCTTGGGAAGAAAAGTCGTTTCTTTTCCAGGTAATCATTCAGACCTTTCTGAATGTCGTCCAACATTGACTGAAAGATAAATAAAGTTAAAAAATCAGTGAGTGTAGTAATATTGAAGATAAGCCAAATGAAAATGTTCAAACATTTAAGAACAAAAAGGACTTCATTAACCAAAATCTTTCAAATATCTAATTCAGATGTATTTTTTAAAATATACATGAAAACACATGAACATATGGACCTGAATATGATCATGACTTTTGTTCTTTTGTTATCGAGTATGATGATTAAAACATTTTCTCATATAGTGATCTTTATCATTTTTATTTCAAATAAATCTATTATTGCAGTATTTCCCAATAATATTGCAAAAGCTGATGAAAAATAGAATATACTAATTCATTCATTTATGAATTCATTCAAAACTTCCTGCACTGCAACCCAAGTCCTTATCCCATCTCTCCTTGCGATCTCATATAAGATTGCTGCTTTTGTTTGAATGTTATATCACTGAATCAGCATCTTTTACCATGGCATTTTCAAGAGTTTGACTAGCTTGAGATTGACTCCCTACTTGATACAGAAATCATTTCCAAGGTGTAGTAAGTGACACACTGTCACCAGCAAGGAAAGAGAATGGAACTGACAGCAAAATTGATCACATTCAGACCATAATTTTCTTTTCCAGATCAGTCTCTCTTTCTCTCTCCCTCCCTCCCTCCCTCCCTCCCTCCCTCCCTCCCTCTCTCTCTCTCTCTCTCTCTCTCTCTCTCTCTCTCTCTCTCTCTCTCTCTCTCTCTCTCTCTCTCTCTCTCTCTCTCTCTCTCTCTCTCCCATGTCACTTTTTCTAGATCTCTCATCTTAAAGCGCTTGAATCATTGCTAAAATTATGTGACTATACGATATTAAATGTAGATGACTCTCTGCAGAATCACGGATCTGCCTGTATTGAAATCTTGAACCAAAGACCACTCCATGATACGGTACCTCAGAGTGCTGCAGTTTTTCCAGCATGTTGTCCTGAGAGACCACCACGAGGGCCCTGGTGTTGTCCACGGCCTGGAGCATCATTTGACGCCTGGGGGGAGACAAACAGGATGTTCAGGAAAAAAAATGAACATGTTTTATGAGAAGTCACACTTTTGAATGCACTACGGCGTATGTCCTCACTGTCGCAAGCCATCCGTTTTAAGTCCAAATTTTGAAAATTTTCGATTTTTACACCCTCTCAAAGCTCTACCAAAGATGCACCTTTCAGCATCACCAAAAAACAGTGTAAGGCTTACAATTTTTACTTACACAAACATGAGAGCAAAATAGAAAAATATCTGTGTCCTCTTAACAGCCATAGAAAAGTGATCCCTATTCAGATTTATATCTGTGTCCTCTAAACAGCAATAGATAAGTGATCCCTCCTCAGATTTATATCTGTGTCCAGTAAACAGCAAAAGATAAGTGATCTCTACTCAGATTTATATGTGTCCTCTAAACAGCAATAGATAAGTGATCCCTACTCAGATTTATATCTGTGCCCTCTAAACAGCAACAGATAAGTGATCCCTACTCACCAGTGGTCATCCACTTCTTCAAACATTTTTCCTTCAACAGGAATTTGGTTGCGAATATCTTGAGAGCCGAAGATTGGCTCTAGGTACAGCCACGCAGACTGGACCCGTAGCCAGGAATCGAGGATGGCTTTCATGCGATGCTGCAAGATAAATACACAGTGAGACATAAAAACACTGTAGCTCAAGTGCAAATACAGTCCTACTTCTATCTTTTTTTACAGTACAAAGCTCAGAGTCATACAGTACAACTACAAGATAACTAAAAGAAAAAAAAAATAGCGTGTTTCTAGAGCTAATTCTACTATTATCGTTTTTGAAATGTTGAAAAGCATAACTCAAAATAAACATTTTTAACAAATATTAATCAATAAAAGTTTTTATGACAAATACTTTAAAGCAACATACACATTTGACACTGTACCATAATTAGTCTTTCATTTATAATTTATTTTTTGTTTGTTCAAAGACACAAAATGGAACTCTAAGAACTCCATCTACACATATAAATAATAAGTGACAACAACTGGACAAAGAAAGTTAAAGTTCTCACCAGCAGAGTATCCCATTTGTTGACTTCTTCCTCAAAAGGACCAATGAAGGGTGAGCCTTTCATAGTCATAGTCTTCACAATGTGGTCTTCCAACAGAACCTACATTTAAAACATGGGACCAACAGCAGATTAAACTCTGCAAACAAATTACATAAAAATCTGAAACAAACCAATATGACATATTATCAATAAACATATTCATCAAATGGCATTCTTAAATATACATTCTGCAAATATTAAGCATGCTACATCAAAACATTCAATAGCCTAACTAACACCCGTGCACATGCATTCCTAGACAGATGCGACACCAAGCTATCTGTTCGATATAGATGTGGTCTGGCGGTTTAGCTAACTTGCATTTCAGCCTTTTGAGAGTAATTTAATATAAGACTTCATTGGATCCTGCTTCTCTGAGATATCAAGTAAAGTCAGCACAGCGTAAAATCTTTGATGACAGACACGGTATGGAGGCTACCCTGACAAAGTCGATTCATTCCAGGAAAATGCTATAATTTCTCATACAAATAAAAACTAAGATATGTTTTGCAAAGCCATTACCATAAAACATGACTACAGCAAAGCAATAGGTCTTACCAATAACGTCTGCAGCTTGTTTAAAATAAATCACGTTTCACACAAGAATTATATAGTTTGAAAAAATATGATGGAGGAATGGAGGGAGGGGGTGGATATATAGACACAAGTATGCACAGTGGAGGGGGGGGGGGGAGCCCAACTGAAGCCTCAAGAATCACCAAATCAAATTGACAAATAAACTGTAAGTTGAAAACAAAATGAGGTGGGTTATTAATTTAAAAACCTAATAAACAGTTTATTCAAAAATGAAGTCTGCAGGCAAAAGAATTAAGCAGAGAGAACTAGAGCAAGTACTGAGGAGGGGCAAAGGAAGAGGGAAGAAGCAGGAACAAACACTGATGCAGAAGGGAGGGGAAGATGTACACATGGTCACAAAGAGGGAAGGGCCACTAAATACCTGGATGTCATCAAAAGAGGACAAGATGGAAATGCCCGAGTCCTTGTAAGGCACAAACTGAAACTGCATGCTCTCCCAATCTGCCTTCATTTTCGTCAAAGCCTGAGACAAAAAAAAAATTATGTAATTAATTTGAAACATACTGTGTCTTTCTGCACAGGTCTCTGACAGATCAATAACAAAACCTGTCTAAAAAAAAAAGAATGTGATCAGTTTGAAACATGCCATGTCTTTCTGGACAAGTCTCAGATGACTCAATGACAAAACTTGTCATTTTGAAACAAAACATAAGAATCACCTCAGACAAAATTAACAAGGCTGCATTTCTGCTGTCACGCACATACTTATAAAAACTGTGGGAATTTTTTGGAAGCATATTGACTGCTAAATGTAAGACTCCATCATTCACAGTGGCAGTGGGTATTGAAGGTCTCACGGGCTTGAGTCCCCCCCCCCCTCCCCCCATCCCCAACTCTGTCCCAAAGTTAATGAAAGTTTCTTGAATAACTAAATAAGCTGTTGAAATTGTTATGGTCGCAGGCAATGAATGCATAGTGGTCAACTTGGCAGGTTGTTTGTTTGTCCAATCATTGTTGTCTCCACTTATAACTATAGTAACCTTACAGCCAATCTTTACGGCTCAGCAAAGGTTGAGTCCGTTCCCACAACCCTTCCTCGATGTAACTCTTCTTGTAGAAAGGTAGAAGAAGATCAGGATAAAATACAATTTTTTGAGTGCATCCAGCCAGAAAAATCACTGATACCTGTTTCAGATTTGGCACTTGAAAAAGATGAAAAAGGAAATATCCAGACAGAATCCATCCCTGTAATTTTCTCTTTTTCAGTATTATAATATCAAAGCAGTTCTATCCCTATGCCACATCAGACTATGTCTCCCCCTCCCC